TTTGTATTTTCAGAACCTGCTGGGACAATACAACAAAACCTTTTTCATTGTGCAACCTCTAATAAAACTGATCCTTTTAGTGTAGTATATCATAGACAAGAAAGTTGATTTAACCTCAGTACCTACATAATTAAGGCTGGTTGGGTTACATTTACCGATATGGGCCAATTTACAATAGCCATAACACAGACGACAAAACATAATTTGAAAAAAATCAACAGTATTTATTTACATGCTGGATAGTACGATGACTTCCCAGTTTAATTGGAGGTAAAACTGAGCCCTTTCCAGAAAGGCAAAGCAAATCATTTGTAATCACAAAGAAAATAAATACAAAGCCAGTGATCATTGAAAGGTCACAGACACTAAAAGATCACTGCTACATGGACTCCCTGAACTTATGTTAGCACATCCTCCAAACAATCATGATTTATGTAATATATGTCAAAATTCTACAGAATTATGTGGCTCATTAATCCCTATAAAAATGTGAGGCAGTATGAATTTTGCACTAAAGTGCATATCCCTTTGAGCACATCACATTTATTGTTGACTTGAATCCTCCCATGATGATTAAACTGCACACTAAGCATCTAATAGTGAAATATTTAGTGAAGAAGGAACACTGCACTCATCACATCTACTCCACTTACAACTTACAAAACATTATCACAAACAGAAAGAAATTCCCATAGCACTGTTGACTCCAGATTGCCTGGCATGTATGATACTGTTGCATGCCAGGACCAACTATGCATAACATTATTATACTGCTACAATAAAAAATGTAAAAACTTAGATGTTGTATATAAACTGTAACATTCATAGGGGAAACAAATGGTGAGTGGAATATTAAGCAAGGATACAAAGATAAAGAGTCTAAATTTAAGGCTTAAATGATAGCCAACAGACGCAAGTCCTCAACATGGTCTGTCCTCAACATACAGGGTGTTTCTTCCCATAGTGCTATATGCTGCAAATGGACAGATTAATGACCTCAAATGCTAATAGATATGGCCCTAGTCTAGGTTCTGAGTGCATCAGGTCACACCACGCAATGCAATGTGCCATCCAGGTAAGAAAAGCCCTGAACATTAACCTTTGGAATTACCACCACACTCCACACATTTAGACCAGGAAAAAAGAGAAGAGAAAGACTTTCTCTACTGAGTCATCGACATGTGGATTGTCTCTCATGCAAAAAACTCAAAACAATACATACAATTAAATTACTATCATCACAAAATTTTTAAGCAGCGTAATAGCATAAAGTAAGTAGACAAATAAAATCCATTCAGCAAATTATTATATCATTTAGAATTTGTGTAGGATGAAATAGAGTTTATATGAGCATCTAGTCTTTGACTTGAGGAAACAAACACATCTGACTACGTATTATGGATAGTATCACTTTTAAATTTTCCAAAACAGACATTCTTTCCAGTCAAAGCTATGTAAAACAGAAAATAAAATCAATACAGGAGTCATATTAGTATTTGATGCAGTTATGCAAGTTGTGACTTGAAAATGGAACAAGAATGAAGGGATGTGTAGGCCTTAGAACCCATCCTATCGACTCCAGACCAGGCTATGATTTTAAAGAATCATGAAAAATTGTTTTTAAGCTAGAAATAAAAATACCTAAACCTAAATGTTATGAGTGGAATGTACACTCATAAAACCAAGATGTTAAATTCTTGATGAGATCTGAATGCATACAGGAATTTAAGAAAATTCTTTACAAAAAGAAAGAAAAAGAAAAAAAATCTACAGAAGTTAGACTACAATTTTAAAAGAAATAAAATACATTTACAAAATATGAAAGCAGCACACAAACGTAATTAGTTAACTGAACTTAACCAAACTTAACAAAAAAATTAAGGCGAGAGACGCACACATTCCCAATATAGACAAAATTAATTTTTCAGCGGAGGTCTGGGTTGTCATTGACCTGTTTCTTAATACGTAGCAAAATTGATGTGTACCACTGATCTAGGCGTGATATCGAGTCATAATCCCTTACTGCATCAGTGAAACCGTCAGGATTCTGTTCTTCAACATGTTCAATCAATGTCTGTAATTAAACAGTACAGAAATAAACCGGATGTTAGAAGAGTTCATTGACAGAAGAAATCCATTGCATTCACTTTAAACTTACCTGGACAAACTTATACTCTCGCGAGTCCTGGAAGGCAGGGTAAAGCTGGACATATCGTTCCAATGCATGTTGAGCATTGAGAAGATCAACACACAAGTGGCAAAGAGCTGCCTTGAAGAAGTACTCTTTGACCCCGTACTTCAAAAGAGACTTGTTCAATGATGATGAGGCAACCTAAAAAAAAGTCACAGAACAATTAGCTCAGTAGCATCATTTAAGATATAAAAATAAAATAAAAACATAACATACCTGTTCATAAATCTGAATTGCTTTATCGTAATGTTCCAGCTGAGCAGCATACTGGGCCACCTTCAAAACACACTTATTGGCAGATGAACTGCTTTCTTCACCTTGAAAGAAGTCTGCTGCCTGCTCATAGTGTTTAACAGCTTTTTCAAGATCAATTGCTTCTAGCTCATAAATCTCTGCAATTGACTGATGGTGCCTGGCAGCCATCGTGAAGCGTCCCATGTCAGTGTAGATTTCGATGGCCTTCATCAAACAGGTGGCAGCCTCTGCAAACAAGAAACATACATTGCATAAGTCATAAGAAATTTTAAATTACCCACAAGCACAGTGTACAGTTTGATGGCATACCATTAGGATCAGACTTTCTGAAGCAGTTGGATGCATCAACATAATTTGTTGCTGCGTCATGTCGACTGCCAGCTTTTTGGTGAAGATTGGCTGCTTGGCAAAAGGCATTTCCTGCCGCACTCCAATTTTTAGCCATCTTGAAAAGATTGGCAGCCCGCTGATAACAGTCAACAGCATCTTCCACTTTGGAGGAGCCACTGTACAAGAGAGGCAACCAATTACAAACAAAATCTGGTTGAAGCTCAAAGTGCAATACAGAGATAGAGTTGCTGTTGATTGAATTTCAGAGTTCATCTACATGAGAGTGATGCAACATTAATTTCTCGTATCAAGAACAAAAGGTTTTGTGACTTGTAACCTTTATTATTTTCTTGGTTAATCGATTTTGTAGTCATAAAAGACAGTTGCAAGGGCACATTAATAATATAGGAACATTAGGATAAGGTGACTTGGCAGTTAAAGCACAGCAAGGCAGACTGTTCAAAGACAACACTGCAGGGAAGGGATGTTGTCAAGGGAATAAGGGTTGACATACTTCGCGAGTACTGACATACCTAACCAAGAGGGAAAATTAGAATCCGAGGAAAGGGAACAAAATACTGCAAGGGAATACGAGCGTTTTTCGAAATAGTAAGACGTGAAATGAGAAAGTTGAAAATGGGAGATAAAAGGCTGATGTCAAACAGTGGCAGTCTTGTCCAATGACTATAGGCGTCTGCTTGAACACGGCTACGTACCCGAAAAGGTTCCCGAGGAAACCTTTGGAAGAATTCAACTTCTTTTCGGCTTCTGCCATTAAGGCAGTAGCCTTTGATTCGTTGTCCGACATTTTCAAAAGAAATTTGACACGTAATTTTCCTTCAGGGACACTTCCTCCTCCCCCTCCCTTATTGACGATTTGATTCCAATCGACACCGCTAGGGGCGCTGCGGCTGTGGTTGGTCGCCTCCGGGGGGC